AAAAGTACATGGAGATGGCTTTGAGCTGTACTGTGACGATATTATCTACAGGGAACATTTGCTACTCCACTGGAATTTTATTAATAACAACATGATATTACTATGTCCAGGTGTTGTAGTATCCCATCAGAGTTGGAGCTACAGCTTTCCAAGACCATTTTTTGAGATAAACCTGATGCTTTCCTTTATCTGCCTCCTTTCTTATGGCCTTTTCATTCCTGTTGGTATCCCACTATTCCAGTAGAAAGCCAAACCCTGAACAGTATTTTGGAGATCTAAGCCACCTAACACTGCTCTCTGTAAATAACACATGGGCTCCCGAGAACCCTTGAATGACTGACTGTGGATACTTCCTGGTCTCCAAAGCAAACTCTTTTTTTCCAACAGGCATGAGGAGATTGCAAAGAGAAACACTCCCCACCCCACTCCTTAACCACTTGTTGATTTTTTTTTTTTTTCTTTCTTTTTCTAATCGAGAAAAAGGAATGTGTAATATACTCAACTGTAAACTCTTCAGAAACAGTCCCTTGTCCAGCTTTGAACTCTAGGGCACAGTTATCAAACTCATCAGGCCCAGCTGGCTGCATGACTGACATGGGTTAGGCACAGACCGTCAAAAAGCCCAGCACTGAATCAATTCAGTCTTTGCAGGTTAATCTAAGATGCACAGGTTACATTGAAACAGAATAGAACAGACAATTTACTTTTGATTCAGGAAATGCAGTCACATGTCTGCAGTGGCTCAGGCCAGAAACAGGGGGCGCTAGAGCAGAGCTCTCTGGCTGTGTGTTCACTTCCTCTTCCTGCTGCCCTGAGGTCTCTGGGATTTGCAGTCCAGAACTACAGCAGTAGGACTCAGCAGGGTGGCTCATCACCTCGTCTTCCTGCTTCTAGGTGCCTCTATAGGATTTGCAGTCCACAGTTGCAGCCAGCAGTAAGTTTGAGTGGGGGAGGGGTGTTTAAACCCCCTCCCTGGCCTCAGATCAGGCACTGCTGGTGAACTCAGACTGGTGGGGCAGGGGAGCATCCCATGGGAGCAGCAGGGGGGTTTGCAGCCAGTCAGGAGTGGGAGTGGAGGTGGGTGGGGGTTTCCAGCCTCCCTGCTACTGGCTGGAGTGCCCAGCCAGCTACAAACCCCACCTCGCTCCTGGCTGGCTGCAAATCCACCCCCCCTCCCCCCACTCCCATGGGACACTCCACCACCCCACCAGTCTGAGTTCACCAGCTGTGCCTGCCCCACATCCCAGCTGGATTTGACTGGAGGAGCAGTCTCCCCCATTCCCCATAGACTGGGCTGCATCCGCAGCCGGGCCTGCTCCCCCACCCCCTTGTCAGCCAGCCCTCACTGCTCCAGCTAAGGAGCGGAGGGCCAGGGCCAGCCCTGCTCCCTGGGGCAGATGGCAAAGCCCAGCCCAGGGCTGGAAAGCATGCTGGGGGACTGATTTAACTTAAACCAGGAAGGGGTCTGGGACAGAAGTTTCATTAACCGGTTTGACCCTAATCAGTTAAGTCTGATACTACATTCAACCAGGTTTATTTTAAACTAGTTTCAGCCATTTTGAAACTGGTTTATGTGTACTGAGCTTCTGTTCTGTTACAGGTTTAAACCAGTTTCTGATCACTTAAACCGGTTTAAGTGCAACTTCTGTCCCTAGCCATAAGGCTGGTCCACAGGCCAGAGTGGGCATGCAGACCAGCCCCATGGGCTGGATTTAGTGCACAGGGCTCATCTTGCCCTGTATACAGCGTGTGGCAGATTTGGCCCTGTGCATAGGTCCAGTCCAAGGTCCACAGACAGCACAGCAGACTGAATGATAGGCCTCCATGCACTGGATCTCTGACACCCCTGCTCTAGACCATTACTATAATATAGTCAGTAAATTGTATATATGAAGGGTATTCAGCAAGTGCTGAAGCAAGAAGCTGTTGTAGGCTGGAATTGAAATCCAAGAACACAATAAAATAAAATAATTAATTATAAACAAAATACTGTGAGTGAGCCTTCTGATAAGATTCCCTGCCCAGTATTAGAAGCATAATATTTTCATGGTTCAGCCATGGGTAAGCACCTAAGTTTTAGAGAGCTTGTCTAAACTGCACCTGAACTCCAAGCCTATTGCTGGACTGCCTTTCCCAGCCTCTGGTATATACCTATCCAGTAGGAAGCCTTGCCCCATCCCCCGCCAAAAAAACAAAAAGAAAGAAAGGGGAAAAAAAGAGAAAAAAAGTACCTGAATTTCATCTGCTGCAACCGACAGATTGGGTTAGGTGCCGAGTGTGTGTGTTGGTGCTGGTGCTTTTTAGCCAATATAGTGTGGATCTAAAACAACAAGTTTTATCCCTTTTGGTGACATAGTATGTGGTGTGGCTGAGTTGCAATGAGGCTAACCAGTGCTCTCTGCTTTTTTTTTTTTCTTGGTCCCCAGTCATGGATGACCTCTGATTAAGTGATGGGGTCTAAAAGAGCAGCATGCAGTACAACTACTGTGAGAAGGGTGACATATTTTCTTGTAAAATTGTTCAGGGGAGCATCAGCAACAGTAGCAGCATGTTATAAATCAGCAATGGGACAGATAATGAGGAGGAAAAATAAGGGTAATTTTTATTCTTTGATGCATCCTTATTTTCAAAAGTGCTTGGGATTATGGAAATCAGTGTTTCAGACAAATACCTAAAAAAAAAATGTCCTAGTCTTCATTTATGAACCCAGGCTATAGAGGCTCATATCAAAGCTGCTATGGCTCCACCCAAATTCCTTGTCCTGGTAAGTAGAACTAGGTTCTTCCTCCTTTGATGAAACCTGTCTGCATGATGAAGGATGTCTCTCTCAAATCCATGTGGAATTATCCTGATGCAAACATAAAACCAGTTCCAAGCCCTGCATGACTCCTAGTACAATATAAACTGATATTTATTTGTGATGCACCCTGAAATACACCCAGATTGGCAAGGATCTTGGGGTGATATCTTTTATTGAAACGGCTATGCAGTTGGGATAAAGTGTTAGACAAGCTTTTGAATATAAGACATTCTTCCTCAGGTCTCTGATTGTAGGGAGCCAGCCATAGCACAGGGTTTTTTCTACTACAAATCACAAACTCCGTTTAAATACAAACTCTATCACTATGCTGCGGCTGCCTCCCTGCGATCAGAGACCTGAGGAAGAACGTCTTCTATTTGAAAGCTTGTCTAACTTTATCTCAACTGCATAGTTGGTCCAATAGAAGATATCGTCCCAGGAAGTGCTTGCCTCTCACGTAATTGCTGGGCCATCATAGCTACATCATTTTTACAATGCCCAGGTACATTAACCTTCATCATTTGGTACAACATCAAAGAACAGACAGAACGGATGCCATTGACGGTATGTAAGATTGTGACAGCCACCTCAGCAGCAGTCACATCCCATGCTAACCTACCAAATGAGAGATCATGTGCAGTTCTTGAACTCCAGTCCTCTACATGACAGGACTTCACATTTTGCTGCTGAGATTGTGGAAGAGCTGCTGGACCTCTAACAGTGGGTTCTCTCTCTTGGTCATTGTTTGATCTTTAACATTATTAAGACAAACTTCCTTTTCTTGTTTACAACTGCTATGAGACTCTAATTCATATGAGCCAATATTGAAGAAGCCAGTCCAATCTCCAGACAGAAAGGGATTTGGCTAATCTTAGTTCCTATAGCCTAGGGAAGTTGCTATGATGTAATAGGCAGGAAATCTCAGTCTCTTCAGCAAGCCTTGATAGGCAAGAACTTGTAGGACAATTTAAAGAAGCAATGTTTGCACTTCCAGGAAAACTCCTTATGAGAGGTCAGAGGCTCTGAAAATGAGAGGGCTATGAACCCGAGTCTGTCTAAAAATACAAAGTTAATTCTACTACTGATCACAGACTTTTTAAATACCAACTCTGCCCAAGTGGTGCTATTATTCTTTACACTACAGTAGATCCTATAGCTCCCAACTGAGATCCTAGGCCAGGTGTATGCAGACACAAAGTTCTGGCTCTGCACAACTGCAGCCTAAATAGATGAGACAGATAAGGGGTAAGAAGGACAAAAAGAGGTACAGCAGGGTTCAAATGGCTTGCATAGACTCGCACAGCAGGTCAGCAGCAAAGCCGGGAATAGAAGCCATATCCCCAGAGGCTTGCTTCAGTGCACTATTCAGGCCACAATGTCACGCTCACTCCCCATATAAATAATGACAGTTTAATTAGCTGGAGTTGCTTACACCACAGCTTTTTTAAAGGCCAGGTCAGCAAAACATACAAACAAAAAGAAATAAATGATATGTTGGGGGGGTTTCTAAACCTGACTTTTATCTTTGCTCTTTGAACCTAATAACTTTGGTGTTAAGACAGCATTGCTTGCAATATACTGTTGTAATAGGCCAAGAATCCCCTTTATTTGACCTAAGGAAAGAACACTTATGAACTCTGACCTCCTCCTATCCCTCGCTGCTGTTTGTGTTTCTAATGCCAACACCTTCCACCTATTTACCCTCTCCCCTCTGCTGCTTGCTGGTGTATCTAATGTGCTAGTGAACACGAGTCACATGCCAAAATGTCCATTTCCAGGAGTCAATAAGCCCTGAGCTACAGCACAGTCAGAGCTACAGGATTATAGGGTGATAGCAGACAGTAAACCTCACAGCAGTGACTCACAACAGGCTATAAGGGAAAAGTAACAGCACCAGGTCATGTGCTGTATATCTGCAATGCAAATTAATTAATTAATTATCATATAGCCAGGCATGTATAAAACAATCAAAGCTGCCCCTGCCAGGAATGGCTAGAAAATTGTGGCAGGTCTTGAAATTCACAGCTAGGACTACAGAGGAAAAGATGTCAGGATTCATTAAAAACCACAGTAGCTCTAGGCCCTGAGGCTGTGGAGACGAGAAAGAAGAGCTAACAAGCAAGTCAGAGCTTTAATAGGTCAGCCAGAGAGGAGGGGGGTGGGAGGAGACCTCACTAGTCTTGTCTGAGACCCAGCACCCCTAGCGACCTGGTGAGACTGGGAGCGCCTCCTCTCCCTTCCCTTCCAGAGACCAAAGGGAGGAGATGGTTAGGAGGAGAAGGAAAGAGGGTCCCAGGAGGCTCCAGTGTCAGCATTCGTCATGCTTTCTGGAACTGAAGTCTGAGGCTTTCCTGCGCTGGGTGTTTGTGTCTCATCCACCACACCCTGAAATCAAACTCGCAGCTTAGGTGAACCAGGCACTGTACAAACATGTCAGATTGTCTCCACCCCCTTCTCCTCTCCCGCGCTCTCCTACCTTCTTTCTTTCCCAAGTTTCTCGGCGTATCAGTGAATTCTAGTGTGAGACTGTACCTACCTCGCCTCTGGCTCCGGAGCACTGACAAGTGTGGGGTAAGCTTCATATCCTAGGTTGGGGAGACATCTCGAATTTGCTTTCTTTTATTGAGAGAAACAAGGAAATTCTAATGGCCGCTGTTTCATCGGTTTACTAGGTTTGTCAGCTTAAGCTAACATCTCTGCTGTCTAGTGAATGTGCTGCTACGAGTTAACCCTTTCGCTTCACAACTGTGTATTAAATCTTACCCCTGCCAGGAATTAACATGATGTGGTCTCATGGGTTGGCAGTGCCAGCCTAGGGCAGTGAGAGGAGCAGTTTGGGGGTCATGTGGCTTTTCCCTCAAGGGATGGGTCTTGAGGACAGAGAAAACCAGGAGCTGGATTCCTTTGGGGAGCAGTTTGCTCCATCTTCAATCCTATAGCCCAGCAACACTATCTACCCAATCGGCTTTGCTGTATGGTGATGGTGGGGTTTTTCTGTGAACCTGTTTCTCATCTCCCTTGGATTTGTCCTCTACCACCATTGTCAGTAAGGTCCTGTCTTTCACTTCCCTGTCCCTGTGATAAGAGCCAGCATGTGTGTCTGTTATGAGGGATGTGGTGTTTGGGACCTGGCAGTGTAAGCTGTCAACAGCTCAGATAATGAGAAATACGGGATGAAAATGTCTTGTTGAACCTGATGGTGTTCTCTTAAAACACTGGAGTAAGGAGGGGGTTAAAGTCACCCCCCTGTGATGCCTGGGAAAGGAGACAGCAGGTCAGGAATATGCATGCTCACTATCTTTATGCAAGATATAGCAATCTTTCCATGGATGGACTCTTACATCTGCAGGGACACTTGCCCTACCTGTCAGTTACCCCTTGCTTCACCAACTTATGCCCAGGCCCCCTGATTTTTCCCTTTCTTGTCAGCCAAGCTCATTTCAGCACATCTAGTGAAATACCATGCCATAATACTGTGTGTGTGTATATATATACTAAATATCCGGGACTGGCTAACCTCATACTATTTTAAATCCATTTTTCCAGTTAGATAAGTACACACGATGTCTTTCAGCTGAGTGATAATTGCACGTCACAAGTAGAGAAGGTATCCCTGTCCAGTCATATTTGCTGATCTTTTTGTCTTTTTGTTTGACAGGATATTAATGACTTAATATATTCAATGACTGAACAGTGAAGAAGAAGAAAGGAAGCTTGTAGCTGGTGAGTGGGGCTGGGAAACATGTAGAAAATATGGAAATGCAGTTGCTGAAAGCACAAGTGGTCGACACCCCCCCTTAGAAATCCTTCTCTATGATAATATCAAATGCAGATGAAGCCATATGGAGCTGCCTGTGAACGAGATGCTGCTGTACTGCTACTATATACGTTCTCTCTCCCCTTAAACAGTTTAGTTATTAATCATGTCATGAAGCTGTGCATTCATGCTCACGCTGTGCAGTATTTTGCTATGAGCAACAATGGCTTATAGATCAAATCATGTTAAACAGACCTGGTCAAGCAGTGGGAAGCCCCATTTGCAGATAGTTTGCTGAATTAACAGCTGCAGTTCAAAGTGGTCTGTGTGTGCTCTTCTGTAGTTTGTTTTTGAACATTCAGTTGAATAAAGTTTTACATGTATGAATGTTCATGGAAAGAGCATTTTGGATCTGTAGGCAAGATTTGGTTAACGGATAGATGAAATCTGTAACCAAACAGTTCCTTTCAGTGGCAAGTACAAGTACTTTCTAAGGCTTTCTCTATCATGTCATAAACCAGAAATAACACTTGATGTGAGCCTTCAAGAGGCTGAGAAGCTATCTCCCTACATAAGTCGGGAGACCAGCCACAAATCTTAAAATAGAAACTTTTGAATATTGAATAACAGACTGGATATTTGCTTTAAAAAGTGTGAGCAACCCACAATTTGGTCATGTTTGTCTAAGCTATTTGATGCATTTGCAAAATCCACAATCTGTTCAAATGAAATTAATGAGCAGAAGAGAGGACTAAATATTTTGAATGAACTGTTTGAAAGAATTAGGCAGTAAGAAAAAAGGTAAGTAAAATGCATTTTACGACATGTATTCTATTCTCCAGGTTCATACAATATTTTACGCTCTTACCTAGTCTGCCTGACTGCCTTGTTTTAGCCTTTGCTAATTAATATTCATTATACAGGGTCTTCATAAAGTCCTTGTGCACTTTTAAACTTTAATAATAACTTAGGTTGTAGGTATGAAAGAAACAATCTGTAAATGCCATTTAAAAGCAAATTTATTAAAGTTTCAGGACAACTAGAATACACAATGCTACACTTCATAAGTAATAACGAATTTATTCCTAAATAAGATGGAGCTCTGTGCCACTATGCTCTGAATGTACAACAGTTCCTAAATGACATTTTCCCAGAGAAGTGGATAGGCAGACGTGGACCAATTGCTTGGCCACCTTGTTCACCTGACCTGTCACCGTTGAACTTCTTTTTATGGGGACATGTTAAAAGTGTAGTTTACTTACCCAAACCACATTCTTTGGTGGAACTTAGGGCTAGGATCATCAATGCAATTAGTACAGTAACTCAAGAGCAACTGGGAAATGTTTTCAAGGAGTTGGAAGATCGGATTGAGCACTGTATCATGATGGCTGGTGGTTATACTGAAGTCAACCATTGTGTACTCTAGTTGTTCTAAAAGTTTAATAAATTTGCTTTTAAATGCCATTTACAGATTGTTTCTATCATACCTGCAACCTAAGTTATTAAAGTTTAAAAGTGCACAAGGACTTTATGAAGACCCTGTATATCCTTGTAGAAACTGTTTTATCCAAGGAGTTGTCTTAGCATGGCCAAGATTTAGATGAGGCTCTAGGGGTTCCCAGTTCTTCTGTCAATTGAATAGTCATTGGAGGGTAACATAACATGCTGCTGTCCTTTCCAGCTCTGAAGATAGCAGGAAGCACATTGTCATCAGGACCTTCTTAGATCCCCACCAAGAGTAAGGTCTAGAACAGCGGTTCCAAACCAGAGGTTGTAACCCCAAATAGAATCACAGTGTTTAATGAGTGGGGTCACAAGCCTTAGCAAAATTCAATTGTAGTGGGCAGGTTTGAACCAGCTGCTGGGCTGCCAAAGAAAGATTGGGAATTGCTAGTCAAAATTATAGTGGAAATCATGCTTTTCCACCAAACCTACCAGTGCAAGCCTATTGTAACAGAGTAGAAAATCAGACAGTTTCTATTTCATATTGCCCTTGTATTTAGGGCATTCATTAGTGTGGTATCTTTCTGGATGATCCTGTATTATGCTGCTTCTAGATAGCTGAATTGACCCTTTATCAATATTGCTATTACTTCTGTTTTCAGCTGATTTCCTTTGTTTTACCCAGAGTTAATACATTTGAGTTAAATGATAAAATAAACATTAGAAATCTCTTCCTTAATTCTGTTCCCTTTCAAAAGGCCCAAGAGAAAATTATCTTGCCTCTGGGATGAGTTGTTTTTAATTTGAAATATGATAGCAATTGGACTGCTTTATAATTTCTTGATGAGTAGGTTCAAGTATATGATAGTAGCAATTTATTTATTTGTAGTATTATAGCACTCTGGAGCCCAAGTTATGGTCTAGGAGAGTGGAGGCCAACTGTTTTGGGAGGTGTGCCACAGGTTAAGGCCTGCACCCTCCTGAAGTGCCACTTTTATTCCCTACCCCTGCCCAATCTGCTGCTCTCCTGTCTGCTCCCTACCCCCGCAGTGATCTGCCATGTGACACACACACACACAGGCTGCCTGCACCGCTTCTAGAATGGGTGGTCTAGGAGTCTGTTATGTGAGGTGGTATAAACACATGCTCTTGGCCTTACAGATGATGTATTCCTCCCTTTTCCTTCCATTCTAAGTCACCAAGAGCTGGATAATAGGATAACTGTTACCTCAGAAGAGCTTGGTCTGACCTGCTATTACTTAAGTGTGGTTGCAGGTCAGTGCAGTCTTTGGGCTCCAGCAAAGGACTGAAAATCCATCAGGACACTGGACTCCAAACACAAGTTTTCTCACTGTGTGACTTTGGGTAACCACTTTACCTCTCTGTCCCTCTCCATCTGTGAAATGGGGACAACTGACAGTCTCACCAGCTGTTGACAGATTTAGTGTTTTCAAAACGCCCTTTGAGATGTTCAGTATTCAGTGCAAAGTAGTGGATTTTTACCTATATTGTGATAAATGAGGGATAGATTTGTCTTCATTGTTGTTAGTAACTGTCACATCCTGATAGCTGTGGTCAGTGCTGATGTCACTGTGGTCACACAGCATGGTGCTGCCATCCATTTAATTCCCTCTACAATGTTAATGCAAGAATCCCAGGGTCTGATCCCTCATTTCCTTACACCCTGGGTGGTCGCAGTGAAGGTAAAATGATGCCATTCCGATTTGATTTGTACAAGTGTAGATAACTACAAGATACTGAGCATTGGCGAATCAGACAGAAAGTCTCTCCCTTTCTTTATATATTGAGTTAAAAGGCAGGGACCGGATCAGCCAATGCCTCCATTGAATTAATGGAACAAGGACAGTTATGATGCCAAGTTGGGTTCAGTGCAATAACGTGGTTTGTAAACTGAAACAGTCTATCACCATGTTCTGATGCACCAGCAGGAAGCAGCAGTGGGTCCTTGCAGTGCTGCAGTATAGACCTCCAATGCCCACCTGCAAATACAATGGAATTGCAGTTGTATGGAAGTGTCCACTTACATAAAAGCAAGTGTGCATGAGGTGAGAGAGGTAGATAAGAGGAGTTTGTGTCTAACAGGCTAGTTCAAGAGAGTGAGTTCTGGGAAGTGCTACTTCCAAAATAGATGACAAAGTAGTCTTTTTGCTGGTACCACATGGATATTTACTAACTCTAGTGGACCTAAAAAGAACTGAAAGAGGCTGCTCTTCTAGATCTTCCCATTAAAGCACTGTTTTGGGACTCAGGAAAGTTGACTTCAATTCCTAACTCTTCTATAGGCTTTTTTTGTGAACTTGGGCTGCTCATTTGATCTTTCTATGTCATCAGTAAACTGAAGATAAAAGATAGGAGAAAGGAAATTGTTATCAGTTTCATCTGTCTAGATTGTAAGGTCTTGGGGGCAAGGATTCTCTGTTCAGTGCATGGCCACCTAATCACAGGTGGGACCTCTAGGAGATATATTTTCACTTTATTTACAGTATTATTTCCCCATCTGAAGGGTGTTGATGGTCTGAAGGAGGGTTGAGGAGCTCATCCAATCCTCACGTACAGGAAGAATTATTGTGATGTTGGCGCCAAAGGGCAAAGGGAGGGGGATCTCGGAGAGATCTCCAAACAGAAGAGACCTACATTAAAATACAATGATTTTCAAGTCACACCCAAGGTAACAGAATTCAAGTGTGGTGCAGGCTAAATAGATCAGTGTGTGCACACGTGCACATGTGCACAATACATACATAGTATTTACATTCTAAGCTTTCTAGACTCCTCTGATGTTTGCCCTCCTGAGCTTTCTGACACGGTTATTATTTATACCAATCCATATATGTTCATAGCATTTGCAGACAAAAGAAAAATGATAGGTTCTTTCATTGACTGAAGAGCTTATAAATCTAAATGATACTTTGCACAGTAAGGAATGATAACAAAGGGTGGGTGAAGGGAAGAAAAATGGGAGAGAAGGTTTGATATCTGAAATGTTAGCTGAATGTGGTGCCCTGCTGTGATGGCTCCTTCCACCTTTATCTGAGGCACTGGTTCTAGAAATGCAGTTTTAGGTGCCCTGCTTTTCCTAAGGATGAGATGATGCTTGCCTGCTGTGCTATCACTTTTTGTATTTAAAATCTGTCATTTTTTTCCCCTGATAATAAAGTATGTCTGGCAAAATGGGTGCTTCAAGCAAACTAGAAACACAACAAACTGATTTAATGCTTTAAATCCTGTGTGAATACGTAGTCAGGCACACAGATTAATATTCTATTAGAAATAAGCTTAGGAGAGACTTATTTGTTATATTGCTGGTTTAGTTTGTGGCAGATGATGAAGTTAGGTGCTTGCACTTTCATTTTATGCATGGCTTTTCCCAAAAGGCTGAATAAGGTCCACAAAGCTGATTTATTGTTTTTTTTTCTTGATTAAGAGTAAAAACTGCAACAGGATGAACATATCTTTTCCTAAGCTTTTTCTGAACTGTGTTTATTGCCATACTGCTAGGTGGGTTTTAGATGTACTGAGCCAAATTTATGCTAGATAATGTAAAAAGCTTTTCTAAGGCAGGAGCTTCTACAATTTGTGAATCTAATATGGGCATGACCCAAATGTGTGCGCGCGCGCGCACACACACACACACACATACACACACACACACACACACACACACACACACAAAATCAGTGACAGAGGAGGATGGGGTTGTATGCGCGTGTACATGCATAACATGATGTAGCATATATGTATCCCATATGCACCCGTGAGGTTTATAATGATATCAGGAAAAAGCTGGTGAAATGACAAAGAATGAGAGCATATCTATCTCAGTATTTGAAATACTATATGATAACAAAGAACAATTCCTGTTATCATTGACTTTCTTCCTTGTTTTTCAGTCTGGCTAATCATTTTCTATGCCCCTGTATTCCTCTGATGTCAGTCTGACTCCCACCCACTCCTATGCCTTTTTTCAACTCTGATTCCCCTCTCTTTCTTCCAGTCCCCCCATTCTCTCATTGAAGCCTGACCCTTTTTTCTCCCTGCCCCTCCTTTCCAGCTGATCCCTCCCACTGGTCTGAATCTGCTGGCTGTGGGTTTTTCTCATGCTCACTGGCAGATGTGACAGATTTTGGAACTGTATCATCTATGAAAAGCTGTATCTGGAGTTGAAAAATCTAACGTGGTTTCCCAGGCAGCAGAAATGGATCGCTGAGAGAATTTCAATCTCCGGCTGCTTTTGTCTCGTGGTAGTGACTTTTATTATTTGTGTTTGTGACATTTCTTACAGTGTAGCTGTCATCAGTAAATGAAAAGACTTGGGTCTAATAGGTTATTATAATATCAGTGTCATAGGGTGTGTGAGATATTGAATGGATGCTGTCTAACTATCTGAGACTAAATATAGGTTTGCTTAATTATAAAATCTAAACCTTCTATGCATAAAATATTGTTATGAATTTGTTCCTGAATTTGTTCTGTTTAAACATTCTTCAGTGGTAATGGAAATCCAAACATAATAGCTGGTGCATGAGAACCACAAAGTGTGTAATGTAGCAGTCTTCTTTCACTGTCCAGTTTGAACGAAATACAAACCTTGAACAGGATTTTAAACACTTATTTGAAGTGTGTGATTTTTAAAATTTTAAAACAGTGCCCTTTAACTACAACCACCTGTCTGATGTGAGATTTGTATTTATAATCAAAGATTGCTCTTGACAATGTAAAGCAAATGTCATTGAAAACCGGAGGTGTTATATGTACAGGCTTGGCTACAGTTTATCATTATAACGCTCTGTTTATTAACCAAAAAAGGTCACATTTGCAGCCAGCCACTGTAAAAATGACCATGAACTTAGTAGATAAATATATACTGTGCAATATGCATTTGTGTATACAAACGAAATGCATGCCAAATGGTTATTAAAAGGTGCAGTTATCTAATGTGAATGCCCAAATGCAGTGTTTATGTGATACTAACTGATAGGCCAGGATAGGTCCACTTCTGAAGCACAGCTGAAAATTTTGGCCCAGATGCAAAAGTGAACATTTTAATTCAGTAATTTAGATGGAAAACATTCAGTCACATTCTGAATCACCAAGGGATAGCCTTATTATGAATTATTGTGGCTTTTTTTTTTAAACAACATCCCCTTCCATGGTAGATGCTTTAAGGTAAATAAAAGGATGTGACTCTTCCCCTTTCTAATTACAAATGTCATGCTATGAGTCAGGCTACAATTAAAAGGAAATGGGGTGCAATGAGGAACTACAAGGGTTAAAACAAGTTCACATGACTACTCGGTTCAAGAGAGTTTCCATCCTGGTGGCTCAAGGAATTGTTGTGGTTTTTTTGTTTTGTTTTCTCATAATTATTGATTCACTTGTTGTGGCCATGGCAGAAAGCTGATATTTGCATTGCTTTATCAGCGCTTAATGCTTCGTGGCTCTGTTAAAGCCTGAAGCATCCTCAGCTGTAGTACCTGTCCTGTGAATAGCACCAGCGCAATTAGCTAAAAAGGCTACTTCTACATTTCTTCTCCTTTGAGCGTTGCCCCACTGAATAATTATTATGTAAACTGCAGGAGGTACTGGGAACCCCCATCACAGACAAGGACCCCATTACGCTTGGTGCTGCCAGCACAGAACGGAAAGATGGTCCATGCCTCAACAAGCTGACCATTTAAATGATGCGTACCTTGGGGGTGGCATTGGAACAGTCTCCAAACCAAAGAAGGCCCTGGCTGCAAAACCTCCCTATGCACAGCAGTTGCATTGTACTCCTTTTCTGAATGCAATTTTTAGTGGTTTGGCTTTCTCCAAATTGTCTGTTTGCTCTTCAGATGTAACAGGAGATCTGTGGTCTTTTGAACACAGCTTGATGTAGTACAGCAACACACAGTATTTTTACTTCAAAAGAATTTGTATTTCAGCATAGAATGGTGTATATATACCCTGCTGTAATTATAGTCTAAGGATCTGACCCTGAAAAACCTTTTAATGCATGTGCTTAATTTTTACTACTGTGAGTGATCCCATTTTTTTCCATTCCCTCCCAAACTGATTTCAGTAGAGGTTTCACAGCTCTCAGTTTACACAGGTGCATAAAAATGTTTGCAAGACTCGAGACCTAATTTTAGGAAATAAAGCAGTATGGCAAATAATGACCTTATCTGTAACTTGTACTGTAAACTGCACTTTGCTTTAAACTACAGACCTAACTGTAACAACATGGACAATGTTATAGCCTTATATCATAAAAGAGCACGGCACTGTGTGGTGCTAATTGTAAGGCAAATGTCATGAGAAACGTTGGTCTTGACTGCAGAAAAAATTATCACTCTATGCCTTTACCTCAAGTAAATATTTGTAAAGCAAAAATAATCAGAAGCTGAGATACTGCAGTGGGGGAAAAAAGATTTTTTTGAAGTTTAAGAGCTCGGTAGGTGTCTGGAATCTGCTGTCAGGGAAACGGAGAAATCTGAAAGTGTCTGTGCATTAGTGGTTCTGTACAGATGATAATACTAACACAAGCAAAAAGCTAGAAATAATGAAATATTTGGGTTGGGCAATCAAACTCCAGATTTAGGAATATCTGGAATATGTTTTCTCCATGTTGTTGTTGCTGTTAATGTCATTTATTGGACTGCAGTAACACCTGGACACTTGAGTGAAAGACCAGGACCCAATTGTGGTAGACACTATAGAATCGCTACAAAAAGATGATCACTGCCTCATCTCTGTATTTCACTATGTGTATTAACAACAAACAGTAATTATTTAAGCTGAAAAGGCTACTAAATGCAACATAATCAACTTAGTTTTGAAGAATCACCTTCCATTTCAGTGTTTGAATTACTCACCTTAGCACCAATAGTGCTACTATTTTTTCATTTAATTAAGAAAGATGAAGACACGATAAATGGATTTCAATCCTTTGTCTTGGGAATCAGCATTGTGGCACTTGCATGAGAGTGCAGGACTTGAATTCAGATATTTAGTACTTTGTGCTGAAGAGCCAAGCAAATATTTGAGATTCATGTTTGTTTGTTCCAGCTGAGAGAGAGAGAGATGAGTAGCTGGGGTGCCACTCTGATAAAGAAGGAGCAAGGAACTTGGACAAAGCAGGTCCTACAGGAAACCTTAGGACCTGTGGAGCTTGAGGAGAAATTTAGGCTCAGTTTTGTATTTTATTATTTGAATAACTCCAGGGAAGGGTTAAGTTTGTAGACTGTTCAAAACAAGGCAGTAATGTCACCAGTTTATTACTTGATTATGGTAGTGGATGAGGCCCTTTCTAGGCATTCGAGAAGGGATTGTCATTGCCCACCTAAAATGGTATGGTTTTGGCCCCTGCTGAAGTCTCCCTAGCCCTGTGTCTCCTGATGATGCTTTGCAAGCTGTCAGTTTTAAAAGTGCTGTGCTTGACAGTTTGGTGTTTTTAAACTAAAGAAATTACTGAGTTCCACAGTTTGAGCTGAATAGCAAGGTATGCCTATTAAAAATATCTTTAAAACAGCATATGGAAAGCATTCTAAAAATATACACGAGGCAAAGATTTTTTACAGTGAAATCTTTTTATTGGACTGACTATATAGTTTGGATAGAGTTAGACTTCTCTAGGTTAATGGCTCTTAGTTTAGTAGCACAAGTGAGTATCTCCTGTTTAAATTGATCCCTTTCAGAGTTGGTTAGGTGAAGAAGATTTTCTTAGATTTTTCAAAGTTCTCCTGCATCGTTGTGCTACATCTGTGGAGTTGTGTGCGTTAGCTAGAGGGTTGCAGATGACGAGTCCCCTTGGGGTGATGTTATGTTTCTTGTACAGGTTTAAGAAGATGATGTTCTGGCTTTTTTCTGTAGGTTGTGGATTTTCTGTTGTAAACATTGGATTTCAGTATCCTCCATATTATGGTAGTGTAAGAGTGATGTTGTAGCTGTGATGGTCCAGAAATTAGTTGGTTCAGTAAAAGATCTTCCCCCAAGCAATCCCTGTCTCTTGCATAATTTCTGGACCACCATGGTTACAATGTCACTAAAAATATACATGAAATCGCTGCATTTCAACATTCAGCTTTAGTTCTAGCAGGGGCTGTCTCCATTCAATATGGAGGCTGTGTGGGCTAGTGGGTAGGGACTCAAGAGAGACCTGGGTTCTGCTGGGTGACCTTGAGCTAGTTCACTGATTTCCCTATGCCTCCATCTTCCAGTTTGAAAAATGGGAAATGTTCTCTACCTATATGAAGTGGCCTGAGGCCTACTGCTGAAAATCAACACAAGAGTCTTACATGATACAATAGCTACTGTGAAGTTCCTCTGCGGGACCAGATCTAATGTGTTTTGATGTCTCCCATTCAGGCACCATGTTCCGCAAAAAGAAGAAGAAACGCCCCGAGATCTCAGCTCCACAGAACTTTGAACACCGGGTCCACACCTCATTTGACCCAAAGGAGGGCAAATTTGTGGGACTGCCTCCTCAATGGCAAAATATTCTAGATACATTGAAACGCCCAAAGCCAGTTGTAGACCCTTCAAGGATCACTTGTATGCAGCTTCAACCTATGAAGGTAAGATAGGAAATTTGAATTCTTTCCATTCTCTCCAAAATTCATTGAGATCCAGTGAAGCAATGCCCCCCATGCTCTTGTAAAGGCAAATTATCTATTAACATTAAGGAATGTAAGGAATCCAGATAATGCCAGGATTTTGTGAAGTGGCAGAGAGTAGCCTTATCCACTCCTAATCTTAAAGAGAAACAACAAAGGCAGTAGTAGAACATTGGGAATATAGCTATGACAAATTGCACTGCTGCAGCTCGACTACCTGGTGATTCAATTACCCTAAAATAAGAAATGGACCTGGGAGAACTTCCATATCTATAGAGATATGGGAATATCCCCTTATATGCCACTAGGCACTATTAATCTTGGATTGGCTTAATAAACCACCTCTGAATATGAAAGGGTCTGTTTGTTTTCACTATCTCACTGCCCAGTGGAAACATGAAAGAGGATTTTGTGCTGCCCTGCACTGACCACTGCTAAAGCTGGTACTTTAAAATCATTTAAAATCATTGCTATTATCAGAGTCTGAAATGCTGCAGCAAACTGGAAGCTGTGAAGGCTGAGGTTTAAGGAGTGAATCAGAACAGAAAAAAAGACTTTCTGACTCGGTTGAATCAGCTTGTGAGTCTGGGTTTCTGGCTATTTTCTCCTAGCTTTTTCCTTTTCACCACCTTGGTGTAAGGTGATGGAACCAGTTCTCAGTCAGTGCCTCAACCACATTTGATGGTTAACAGAACATTTCAGGCGGAAGATAAAGATGTGATCAATATTTGAAACAGAAAAATGTGTTACTACAGAGAGAAGAATTTACCATTGTTGGAGAGTTTACACACACAATGAAAGGAGTTTGACTGCTCTTAGATTACTTCTGTCTGATAGGATCTTTCTCTTCCACCTTTTCTTCCTTAATACAATAAGCCAGTTTCTCAACTGGTGCACCAATATTGTTGAGTCAGTTGACACCAACTAAATATTTGGTCCAGTATAATTAACCCAATATGGTTGGGGAGATCCCAGTTAATAAATTAACAAACAGGAAATTGCTTATCATTCCAAGGGAAGATGTCCTTACATAGAGAGGATTCATACAGTGGTAGCAATTATACTATTTTAGGTATTGCTGTGTAGATATACAGGTGGTTAAAGTTACCAGTAATTAAAAAAATTAAGCTTAACAATTCCAAAAAAATGCTGTGTATGTAGGGCATGCTACTCATACAGAGTTGGTGCCCTTATGGATAGATGCCTTATGCTTCATCATTTGCCTACAAAACGGTTGTTAATTGCTTGTGATCCTTTGTTTCCAAGAATACATTTACCAATTTTAGTTGGAATGGATTTGGCAATCAAAGGAGGGATGCAGATTTGGAACAATATGGATTTTATGATTGGTATTAAGATGTGTTGAGCTAGAATTAAAATTAGTCTAAGGACAGCAGATTATGCCTGAATTAACAGAACTATGGAGAAGAAATGCACTATATATTGGAGCAACAATAAGATTCTACCTAAAGAGTAATTTTAGTCTAGGGTACTCCAAAGACTAGTAGGGATGTTGTAGGTCAGGATTTGGGGACATTAGGAGAGCACTATGAAGGAAGCAATATTTTGCATTGTGACTTTAGCCAAGCCTATGTCTTTGTCACAGCAGCGCATAGGTCCTCAAACTTTTGAGGAGGAAAGCACTGAAAAGTAAAACATTTCAGTTCATTTTAAATGACTAGGCAGACTTGAAATGCAGTCCCTGCTTTGGACATCCTGAGCCTCGGGTTGTAGAGCTCTAACTTTGCCCTTTTGTTTCTGCATGTTTGACAGACTGTGGTGAGGGGCAGCACTGTTGAAGTGGAGGGATATATCTCTGGAATACTCCATGATATTCAGAAGCTCTCTGCCATCAGTTCCAACACTCTGAGGAGAAAGAGTCCCACCAGCAGGAGGAGAGCCCAGTCACTTGGACTGCTGGGAGAGGACAGGGCCCCTGACATGTACCTTCAGAGCCCTGGCGTAGACTGCACAGACAACTATGGAGACTACCTCAATTGTAATGGTGGGACCAAGGTGACCCGAAGGCAGACTATGTGGCCAGATTATAAACCCCGGGTGGATGGGGAGTCTCATTCCAATGGCATGGTAATGAAAGCACAGTCCCTTGGGCCTTCAGAATTCCAAGGTGCCGGCAGTCGCTGCATCCAGCTCACGTTAGGTTCCCAGCACCAGCAGTACTCCCCTATTCTGACTGGGAAGAGTGACAAGCCTGGAAAAAGAAGCTCAGAGGACTGTTGGCCTCAGCCCTGCTTGGTGGGACAGTCAAATCCCAGGCATTCTGGGGAGGGCAGCCCTGGCTCTAAATCACGGGAAAACAGCTTGAAGCGAAGGCTCTTACGAAGCATGTTCCCATCAGCAAGTGGCGCAAACAAATCGGGTCCCACCCTGCAGATAAAGGTATGTTTAGTTAGTGTATTAAATGTAAACACCATGGTGACTTTTCCATTCTATGGGTTACTTCCACATTCAAGCAATTTTTTGGACAAACAAGAGACATCAAGCTATTAGTGTAAAAATGTAATGTCAGAATCGAAGTCAGCAGAACAATAATCCAGATCCAAAATAAAAGGAGAGTTTAGGTTGCGTGAAAAACAGATGACCATACTTCTCTCAGAATAGTTTGTGATGTATAGCTGAAAAGGACAGCCAGGTCTATGCAAGAGGGTTTTTTGCTTGTACAGCCATATCACTTGGGGATTGTTTTTTAATTACTACAGTATATTAGTAAAAGCCCTAGTTATACCAGCATAGAAGTGTTTCAGTTTGCACAGCGTATTTGTTTAGCAAACCAGGATAATTTATACTGGTGATAGTTTTTTGTTAGTACATGCTACATCTACATTTGGAGGGCTATCTAGAGTAAGCTATGCTTACAGACACAAATTTTTTTCTGTTGTAGACTGTACTTACACATGGAAATAAACAGCATAAATAGATTCCAGCAAGAATCTGTTTAAGCATCAATGTCTGTGGAGATGGTACAATTCATAGCTATGCGTCTCCCAGGAAGATTTTTTTTTTAAATTTGAATTAATAGAATTAAGACAAAGAAAGAAAAAGAAACAACTGAGGGACAGTTGAGGCACTGTCAATGAATATAGAGACTGTAGGTAACAACTTTCAGTCCACCCCAAATGGTCCAAGTGTTACCAACTAACAGCTGTTTGATGCCTTCATTAAAATTGTTTGGTGCCACCAGGCCAGTTCCTAATGACTGCTCAACACTTAGTTTTTGAGTACAACTTTCTGACTCTTTAGAGCTCTGTCTTTCTGAGTCTCTCTCTCTCTTATTTTGTGATTCTGCCCCTTGGGGAGTGGTGTAGGAAAAACACATTCTCATATGGTGCAAATAAACCTGATTTCATTGACCTCAATTATGCTATGCCTGTTTTTCACTGGCTGAAGATCTGGACTTAAATCTCTGTAAGAAATGACCACCTTTGTCCTATCCTGTGATAGGGAAAAGGGCATGATATCCCTTGCACTCTCTTCTCATACAAAGTGTAAATGTTATCAGTAATGCACTATGTGTGTGTTCATACATACATGCTGGTTGTCTGAGGAAAGGAAAGGAACAAGTATGATGTGTTCCCACAGGGAAATGTGTAACCAGGCACAGATTGAGAGAATATGGTTGGATAAAAATGGAAATAGGCATGCTTTGAGAAGCAGTGCAGGGACAATGTAAGATGGGGTGTTGTGGGCCTGTGATCTGATGGATGAAGTGACCTGGGAACTTCCATAGGTGTCTAACTGGGAATGGGGGAGCTTGTTACCAGCCAACAGTTGTTTGCCTTCTCTCATATTGTTGAAGCAGGAATCTGTAGGTACGCTTGGTTAGACAGAAAGACATGTATAAGCCTGTGTGTATCCGATGGCCTTTTGTGTGCTATGGGTTATATAAAAACTGTTTTTCTAAGACAAAACAAGAGCTCAGAAATAAATACCTTCCTGTCAGGAGCATGCCTGTGCTGGAACTCAGGGGTGGAGATTAGCAGAGAAGTAGGAAGTCATTTCCAACAAGCCATTCTTGTGTGTTTGTGCACTCACACACCTCAGCAGGTCGGTGTCTACATGACCATGCTTGCACCACATGTATGACTGGATGTGAGTCAGTGTATGAACAAGCAAATTGTGCCTCTTAAGTTTTTACTGTTAATAGAAATCAGTGATAAATATCCAGATTTTTATAATTAAGGTCTAGTTTAGTCTATTTTTTGAATGCTTAAGAACATTTAAAGGTGAAAAATTCTCTCTAGTGGCAACTTTCTACAGCTTTACCCCTATATGGTCCCATGATTGGCTTTCAACTGCCTATATAGTGATGGACAAAGCTGTGTAGGTACCGAACATGTTTTTTTCCTATAGTATAAATGACTGACTTCAAAGCTGGTACTTTGGATTGATTGCATATTCAGTAGATCACCCCATTTTATGTTTTTGAATGTCAATATCACTGGGACTAGTGACAATGCATAGAAATCTTAAAACCTAAGTAATTTATTCTTTTTAGAAATCTATATTCTGTGTTAGCATGGGAGTATGCATATTTTGAAATCGTATTTCTGCAGTTTGTCATTCTATTAGAGCTCATAGCCTGAGCAGGGTAGGACCAATTTAGTACTTGAGTGGGAAGTCTCCAGAGAGCGCCCTGAATGCTGCAGGAGGGAGTCATGGTAATTCAGATTCCTACTGAGTTGGTAATTTCAGATTCCTACAGTGAAATGGAATTAGGTGGCTTTCTGCTGCAGGTGTCACCTCACCACTTAGAGCTATTAAAAGTCCCATGGCACTTTTCCCAATACAAAGAGTGTTAACTCTGATGTCGTGGCCAAATTTCAATTTTGTAAATTACATTCCACCTAATTAAAACTCTTCTTGTAGCTTCACTGGATATTTCATAGAACACTTTTTGTCCATCAGTCTCCAAGTGATTTATGAATTCTTATTATCCATTTCACAACTGGAAAAACTGAGGCAGAGGGAGCCATGGTTTTCAGAAGGGCCTGGTGATTTTGGGTGCCTCAGTATTTTTATGGCAAACTTGAAGCACTCTATAGCAGAGGTTCCTAACTATAGGGCCATGGCTTGGTACCAGGCTGTGAAGGGTTGGCTGCTGGGTTGTGGCACGAGCCCCACGCTGGGACCCCCATCTGTCTGCCTGGGTGACCGGCTTCACCACCAGCAGTCATGTGTGGGGTTAAAGGCAACCCCAAGAGGGAAGCAGCCGGCTCCGTGTGCCCCGTCCCACTCCTGTGCTGGTCAACAGGATAAAAAAAAGTTGGGAATCACTGGTCTATAGCAGCCTGCTTTCTACAGAATACGCTGAGTCCCCGTCTTTTGACAGTCAGGCCCATTTTAGCTGACTGAAGTTGATAACCCAAAAAGTGTGGCACCCAAATCACTAGGCACTTTTAT